AATGATGATGATGATGATGATGATGATGATGATGATGACGATGATGATGATGATGATGATGATGATGATGATGATGATGATGCTGATGCTGATGCTGATGCTGATGCTGATGATGATGATGATGCTGCTGCTGATGATGATGATGATGCTTATGGTGATGATGTTGTTGTTGATGATGATGATGATGATGATGATGATGATGATGATGATGATGATGATGATGATGATGATGATGATACTGATGATGAGGATGCTGATGATGCTGCTGCTGATGATGTTGTTGTTGCTGCTGCTGTTGTTGTTGTTGTTGGTGTTGTTGATGATGATGATGATGGGGTGGAGGAGGAAGAGGAGGAGGAAGAGGATGAGGAGGAGGAAGAGGATGAGAAGGAGGAGGAGGAGGAGAAGGAGGAGGAGGAGGAGGAGAAGGAGGAGGGGGATAAGGGAGTAGGGGGAGGGGGAGGAGGGAGGAGGGAGGATAAGAAGGAATAGGCAGATGATGATGAGGGGGAGGATGATGAGTCGGAGGAGGAGGAGGATTAGTAGGAGGAGGAGCATGATGATGATGATGATGCTGATGCTGATGCTGATGTTGATGATGATGCTGACGATGATGATGATGATGATGATGATGATGATGATGATGATGATGATGATGATGATGATGATGATGATGATGATGATGATGATGATGGGGATGATGATGAACTTGGTGGTTGTGGTGGCGATGATGATGATGCTGATGCTGCTGCTGATGCTGATCACGGTGATGACGATTATGTTGTTCATGATGATGATGATGGTGATGATGATTCTGATGATGCTGATGATGATGCTGATGCTGCTGCTGATGAGGATGCTGCTTCTGATGATGATGATGATGATGCTGATGCTGATGCTGATGCTGCTGCTGATGATTATGATGATGAGGATGATATGATGGTGATGGTGATGGTGATGATGATGATGATGATGATGATGATGATGATGATGATGATGATGATGATGGTGGTGGTGGTGGTGGTGGTGGTGGTGGTGGTTGTGGTGGTGATGATGATGATGATGATGAGGAGGAGGAGGAGGAGGGCGAGAAGAACGGCCAGATGTCTTTTGAATGCCCCTCGGTGTCTCTTCGAATGCCCCTTAAGAGTTTCTTGGAATCCTATTGGGGCGCCTTGCGTCTTGGGGGCCTCTTGGCGGTGCCGGGGGCCTCTTGGAGCTTCTTGGGTGCATCGGGGGAGCCTTTTGGAGCCTCTTCGGGGTCTCTTGGGAGAATCTTGGGGACACCTTGTGGGCCTCTTGGGGCCTCCTGGTCGCCTCTTGGGGCCCTCTTAAGGCCCTCTTGTGAGTCTCGGCGGCCCTCTTGGGGCCATCTTGGAAGAGCTCGATGAAACAAGGGGCGCTCTTGGGCTCTCTTGGGGCCGTCTTGGGACCCTCTTGGGCTCCTGGTGGGGTCCTCTTGGGCCTTCTTGGAGCCATCTTGAGGCCTCGGATGGCCGGCGAAAGCGAAAGGGCGAGAAGGCACAACGCATGGATGGCCATTCGGTTTCGACTGTTTTTGACCTCTTGGTGGCTTCCCTGGGTGGTTCCAAGGCCACTTGGAGCCGTCTTGGGGCGATCTTGGGGCCTCCTGAAAACATCTTGGAGGTCATCGTCGGCCAGCTTGGACCATTTTGCGCCATCTTGGGAGCCACCTGAAAGCATCTGGGGTCCTCTCGGAGCCCTCTTGGTCTAAAAGCCTTCAACGATGTCCTCGAAAAGCCGATACTCTTCAACCCCATTTTTTTACAATGTTATGGTTGATTCAATCGGGGGGAGCTTTCTTTAGCATCGGCTTCTAGATCCCCTAAAATAGCCCCTTGCACCCCTCTTGGAGCGCTCTTGGAGCGCTCTTGGGCGCTCTCGGGGCCGTCTTGGGACACTCTTGGGCTTCTCGTGGGACTGTGCTGGGTCTTCTTTGGAGCCGTCTCGAGGCTCTGGAGGGCCGTCTAAAGTGAAACGGCGACAAGGCATCACACATGGATTTCTCAGGTGTTTTTGACGGACTCTAGCCTCTTGGTGGTTTCCTTGGGTGGACTTGGAGCCGTCTTTGGGCGGCCTTGTGGCCTCTTGGAGCATCTTGGAAGCCATCAGAGCTATCTTGAGCCATCTTGAGCTGACTTGAAGGTCATCTTCGGCTCCCTGAGGTCCTGTCAGAGCCATCTTGGGTCACCCTGGACGCTCCGATCGGTCGCGACCCTCCCCGTCCAGGTCCATGAGATGGGGTAGGGGAATGGGTCAACACACCCTTCCCGCCCGCAAGCCGTCTCGCTCGCTTCCACCCCGACCCTCCCAGCACATAAGTAGCACCCGAAGCTCAGTATGTTCAGCAGTCGCCTTTGGATGGGCAGCAACTGGGAATCAAAACTGAACCCATGTGGTCGACGCTGGGGAGAGGTGCACAACGTGTGCCAGGCGCGCCACGCGCGTTAGGTTCGCCAGGCGCCCCTGGGGCCGAAGCGTGCCAGGCACGCCTGGCGCGCCAGATGCACCACGTGCTCCGCGTGCGCCGTGTGTGCCGCATGCTCCAGCCGGGCCAGGTGCGCCACGTTCGGGGCACGCGCAGAGTGTGCCACGTGCGCACGCGAACGTGATTGCACACATCGGGAAACATGTCGGCCCCAACCATCCTTGCCGAAAACCAATGCGTAATCTCGGCGGGATGGCCATCATCGTGTTTGGTGGGCCTTCACAAAGCAGGCAATATGCCAGCAGCTCCGCCGTCGTTGACCAAATCCATTTGGCAGTGATCGCGGGGTGGCCGCGCATGATCCAGGTTCAGTCGTGAAGGACACTTTTTGTATTTTTCTTGACAGGGATGGTGGCCCTGCGCACATCAGGCAACACGCTGGCACCACCGCCGCCTCTCTTGAACAGCTGTACCACGTATTCGCGGGGCCCGCGAGCATGACCCAATATTTTGCCCCAGCGTGTGCGTTGTTTTGTTTTTTGCCAGGGATGGTGGGGTGGTGTTGGCATGTGTGCCCGCATGGGTTCGGGTTGGCTGCCAGTCGCACGGGGGACGGGGTGTTTATTACCATGGAACAGCGATCAAGCTTCCCCCCCGAATGACCGCCGTCTCGCTCACTCCCAACCGTAACCGACCTCCCACCACATAGATAGCACTCTAGTCTCAGCATGGGCAGGGGCTGCCATCGACCATGATCGGGAACACGTTTGGGTAAACCCTTTCGAGGAGGGGAAGAAGGGAGATTGGAAGAAAAAGCTCCCTAACCCACTCACGCCCATAGGGCTGGTGGGATGAAACACGCTCCCAGCTTCTGAGAAGTCTCTAGGCCTCCTAAAGACTGCAAGCCACTGCGGGGGTTAGGCACCCGGTTTTGGCCCGAGGACGGTAGGTTTGGCCAGGTGCGGTGGAGAGATAGATTTCATATCTCGTCGCCCTAGCAGCTGTCAAATCTCGTCGCCCTAGCAGCTGCGGCAGCTTCCCCTCGCGACATTTTGTCCGGCGTCCCGCACCAACCAGGTCCTGGACCTTTTCCCCCTTCCCCGTCTCCCTTCTCCTCCCCATCCCCCCCCGCCTCCCCGAAATACCATGTACCTCCCTCCGCGTCCTCCCCCGGTTCGCTCCTGCTTCTGCTCCCCCCTCCTCTTCCTCCCCCTCTTCCTGCCCCCCTCACCTTCTCCACCTCCTCCTTTTTCCCTTCCCCCTGATTTCCCATCCCCCTGATTTCTCCTCCTCCTCCTTCTCCTCGTCCTTATCCTTCTCCTCTTTTTCTTCTTCTTCCTCCTCCTCCTCTTACTCCTCCTCCTCCTCGTCCTCGTCCTCCTCCTCCTCCTCCTCCTCCTCCTCCTCCTCCTCCTCCTCCTCCTCCTCCTCCCCCCTCGCCCCCCCCCCCCCCTCCGCCCCTTCGCGGGCCCCCCCCTCCCCTCTCCTGCATCCTTTTCCCCCAGCCCTGCCTCCTCTCTCTCTCTCTATCCCTCCCCCTCCTCTCTCCCTCCAGGCCTGCTTCCGCCGCCGCACGCGCGCGCGCGAGCGGGCGAGGCGGGCGGACGGGCCGGGAACCGCGGCAGCGGTCCGCCGTCGGCAGCAAGCGGAGCGCGATGCTGGAGGACGGGGGGACGGGAGGAGGAAGAGGAGGCGCTTAGAGCCCGCGCTCAGGCTGTCGCACCCGCTCGATCATCGCCGAGACGAGGCTGTATCGAGGGATCGAACAGGCCAACACTGCTCTCAGGCACCATTCCGCCGATGCCCACTCTGCGCCTGGGGCGCACTGCTCTGTGCCCACCCTTTCCCAGGGAAGCACTCTTCCCACCCGACCATCCTCGTGTCCTCCTTCTTTTGCTGGTCCCCCTTCTGTGCCGCGAGGCCCCTGTCCGTCCCAAGCCCGCGTCCGCGCGGCCTGGCCGACGCTTCGGGCCCCCGAGGCCCACCAGCTTGCCCAAAGAAGGAGGAGGCGCTCCGCTCGGCGCCGGCGCTCCACCGCGCCGCCGTGGGCGGCAGCTGCGCATCGCCGTGGGCGGCGGGCGGGTCGTGGAGGTCGCGGTCTGGCTGCGGGAGGCGCTGTGCAGCCAGGGGGGGCCGCAGGGCGGCCTGCGGCCCGTTGGCCGGCGTGGTCGCGGTCGGCTGCGGCTCGTCGCGCTGCTCTGCTCCGTCGCCGCGTGTTCGGCGGAGGTCGGGGCAGTTTGGGGTGAAGGTGAGCCTCTGTTTCAGGAGGGAGGACAGATGAGGACAGGGCAGAAGGTGGGGGAGGAGGAGGAGGAGGAGGAGGAGTTGGAGGAGGAGTAGGAGGAGGAGGAGGAGGAGGAGGAGGAGGAGGAGGACTTGGAGGAGGAGTAGGAGGAGGAGGAGGAGGAGGAGGAGGAGGAGGAGGAGGAGGACAAGAGTAAGCCCAATGTGAATCAACGGTGCAGGAATACGCCCGCCAGTCCCAAGTCCCTTCCTCACGAGCCCGTATGGAATTTCTTCTGCCTTGCGGGACGTGACCTCGTTGGACGAGGAATCGGTCTACCCTGTAGGCCAAATCCCCGTTCTGACAAGGAGCTCGGTTGTTTTTTTTTCAAGCGAGCTATACGGAATGCGTAAAGCAGGATCATCAATCTCAGCGATATGTCCATGGACAGCCCCATATTGGAAAGGAGCCGTCCTATCCGTGTACCCACTCCACATGCTGTGCACAAGCGAAACCCACTTTTCGACAGGAGCCAACCTCCATCCTTGTCGCTGGTGCAGTCTTTTCAGACGCGCGCGCGGCGCTTCGTCGACAAATCCATGTCGAAGACAGTTTCATTCATCCGTGTAACCTTTACGAATTTTAGGCCTCATGATCATACATGGTGACGAGAGTTCAAGCGAAACGTCCAGCCCGTTTTACCGACGCGCCTGGAAGTGCGACAGGGAATATTTCTTTATAAGGCGAAAAGGCGGACGAAGAAGAGGAGGATTAACAAAGGACGGAGGGAAGGAGGGAAAGAGGGATAAGGAAGGGGGGAGGAGGAGGAGGAGGAGGCGCAGGAGGAGGGGGAGGAGGAGGAGGAGGAGGAGGAGGAGGAGGAGGACGAGGAGGAGGGGGAGGAGGAGGAGGAGGATGAGGAGGAGGAGGAGGATGAGGATAATGGAGAAATGTGTAAGCAGGGGGGTGCGTGGGGCAAGATGAGCGGGTGGAGGAACGCGAGGAGGAAAGGGAGGAGTAAGCACGAGGGCGTAGAGGAGGGGACGGCGAGGAGGAGATGGATGAGGATGAGGAGGAGGACGAGGAGGCGGAAGAGCCTGAAGGGGAGAGGGAGGGATGGAGGGAGGGTGGACGAGGCGGAGGATTATGAGGAGGAGAAAATAGTGGAAGGAGTATGAGGAGGAGCATGAGGAGGATGAGGAGGAGGAGGAGGAGGAAGAGGAGGAGGAGGAGGAAGAGGGGATGAAGACCAGTGCAAACCCAACACGTCACCAACGATGTTGGAACCAGCCGTTCCCCAAGCTCCCTTTCCATAGGCCCCTACAACGGTTCATTTCCACAGAGGAACTTGCCTCGTTGGAAGACAACAGTCTGAAGACCCTAAAGCATACCAAAACATGTTTCTCGGTATTCCAGCACCACGGATAAACCTGACGTTGCGTCTTGACGATGCTGAATCGTGTCAGAACGCCGTTCCTAGGACTTCAACGCCGCGAATCATCGTAATTGTTGCGCCCTCATGATCGTTAATCCTTCCAAAAAACCGTAACTGGTACGTCGATCACGGGAATCCGTGAAACCCTTGCAGTTGTTTAACAATAATGTGCGCGGCGCTAAAGCGAGAGCCACATTGTGAGAAGGAACCGCCCTCAATCCGTGAAGCTCTTGCAAATTTTGAAAAACAAAGTGCGCGGCGCTCAGTCGAGATCCACATTCTGAAATCCACCCTCCCTCAATCCGTGAAACTCTTGCAAATTTTGACAACGAGTGTGCGCGGCGCTGAGTCGAGAGCCACATTCTGAAAACCACCCGCCCTCCATCTGTGAAACTGTTGCCAACATTGAAGCTTCAGGGTCATAACTGGTGAGGAAGTATCAGGTGAAACGCCCGGCCCGTCCTACAAACTAGCTTCGGGGTGCGACAGATCCGGCGAAACGCCCAGCCCGTCCTAGAAACCAGCTTCGGGGTGCGACAGGGATAAGTGATTTGTAAGGAGGAGGAGAAGGAGGAGGAGGAGGAGGATGAGAAGCAGGATGATGAGGAGGAGGAGGAGGAGGACGAGGAGGAGGAGGAGGAGGAGAAGGAGGAGGAGAAGGAGGACGACGAGGACGAGGACGAGGACGAGGGCGAGCTCGAGGACGAGGACGAGGATGAGGAGGAGGAGGAGGAAGAGGAGGAGGAGGAGGAGGAGGAGAGGGCAAGGATGAGGAGGAGGATGAGGAGGTGGAAACCGATAACACATTAACGATGTCGGAATGCACCCTCCCTCCAAGCTTCCTCTTCACAGGCCCCGTGCACGGGTTCATTTCCACTGAGGGAATTGCTTCGTTGGGAGAGAACCGTTTGAAGATCCTGAAGCCTGCCAAAGTAACATTCTTGGGAATCCATCGCCACGGGTCAACATGACTATTGCGTCTTGGCGATCCAGAATCCTGCCAGAACATCATTCCGGGGACTTCAACACCTCGAATTAAAGTAACTGTTGCGCCTTTACAGCCCAGAGTTCCGCCAACACGTTTTTTGTTGAAAACGAATGCGCGCAGCGCTAAGACGAGCGCCACATTTTGAAAACGACCCGCCCCCAATCCATGAAGCTCTGGCAGATTTTTGAGAACGAATGCGCGCGGTACTATGGCGGGAGCCACATTTTGAAGACAAGCCGCCCTCAATCCGTGAAGATCGTTCGTATTTTCAAGCGAATGCGCGCGGCGTTAAGACGAGAGCAGCAATTTCTGATACGTCGATCACGGGAATGCGTGAAACCCTTGCGCTTGTTTAACAAGAGTGTGCGCGGCGCTAACGCGAGAGCCACATTGTGAAAAGGAGCCGCCCTCAATCCGTGAAGCTCTTGCATATGTTGAAAACGAATTCGCGCGGCGCTAACACGAGAGCCACATGTTGAAAACGACAGCCCTCAATGTGTGAAACTGTTGCCAGCTTCTACGCTTCAGGGTCACTGATTGTGAGGAAATCTCAGGCGAAACGCCCAGCCCGCTCTTTCGACCTGCCTCGTTGTGAAACAGTGAGGAGTTGCTTATAAGGAACAGGAATGGAGGAGGAGGATGAGTAGGATGAGGAGGGGGAAACGGAGGATGAGGAGGGCAACCAATGTAAAGCCAAGACGCATCAACGATATTGCAATAACCCCTTCCCCCACGCTCCTTCTTCATAGTCCGCTACGAGAAGCTATTTTCATTGCTGGAAGTGCCCCGTTGTAGGACAACCGTCTGAGAATATGCAGTCGTACCAAAACGCAAATCGTTGGACTTCAGTGCCGCGAATTAGCCGTATTCTTGTGTCCTGACGATCCAGCCTCGAACCGTAACGCCGTCCTGGGACGTCCACACCGTGAATCAACGTGACCGTTGCGCCCTGACAATCTTCACTCGTGCCGGGACATCGTTCTTGGGACGCAGACCATCCGATTCCGCGAAACAGTCATTAATCTTTAAGATGCGCGGCGCTACTGAGAGATCCGCATTTGAACAAGATCCGCCCTCCATCCGTGAAGCTCTCGCAATTTTTTAGCACACATGTGCGCGTCGCTCAGGCGAGAGCCGTCTTTGAAGACGGTCCGCCCTCCATCCGTGAATCTCTTGCAAACTTTTAAGACGAATGTGCGCGACGCTAGGCCGAGAGCCACATTTTGAGAAGGAGCCACGCTCCATCTGTGAAGCTCTTGCATTTTTGAAGACGACTGTTCGCGGCGCTTAGGCGAGAGCCACAATTTAAAACACGAGTCTCCCTCCTTCCGTGGAGCTTTTGCACATTTGTGACTCGAATTTGCGCTGCGCTGAAGCGAGAACCACATTTTGAAGGAATTGCTTTCCTTCCGTGGAGCTCTTGCAGATTTGCAAGATGAATGTGCGCGGCGCTAGGGCTGGAGCCACATGTTGAAAAGGAAGTGCCCTCTATCCGTGAAGCCATTGCGAACTTCTAACGCGAGTGCGCGCGGCGCTAAACCGAGAGCCACATACCCGCCCCCACAGTGAAACTCCTGCAAACCTTTAAGTCGAATGTGCGCTGCGATAAGGCGATAGCCTACTTGTAAAGAAGGAGCCGCCCTCCCTCCAGAAGGCTCATGCACACTTTCAGCACGACTATGCGCGGCGCTAACACGCGATCCACATTTCGAAGAGGAACCGCCTTCCCTCCGTGAAGCTCTCGCAAGCTTCTAGCGCGAATGTGCGCGGCGCCGAGGCGAGAGCCACGTGTTGATCAACATCATAAACCATGAGAGGAATTCTCCGGTGCAACACCTGGCCCTTCATATCGACACGTCTCGGGGTTCGACCGGGAGGAGGAACAGGCGGAATAGGAGGAGGAGGAGGAACAGGCGGAATAGGAGGAGGAGGAGGAGGAGGAGGAGGAGGAGGAGGAGGAGGAGGAGGAGGAGGAGGAGGAGGAGGAGGAGGAGGAGGAGGAGGAGGAGGAGGAGGAGGAGGAGGAGGAGGAGGAGGAGGAGTGAGGAGGAGGGAGGAGGAGGAGGAGGAGGAGGAGGAGGAGGAGGAGGGAGGAGAGGGAGGAGGAGGAGTAGGAAGAGGAGGTGGAGGAGGAGGAGGAGGAGGAGGAGGAGGAGGAGGAGGAGGAGGAACAGGAGGAGGGCGAACAGAAAAGGCCACAGGCCTATTGGATGTCCGTGGGGGAGCCTCTCGGCGGTCCCAGGGGCCTCTTGGGTGCGTCGGGGGAGCCTCTTGGGGCCTCTTGGGGGTCTCTTGGGAGGCTCTTGTGGACCTCTTGTGGCCTCTTGGGGCCTCCTGGGCGCCTCTAGGGGCCCTCTTGAGGCGCTTTTGGGGCCCTCTTGGGAGCCTTCGGGGCCATCTTGGGGCCATCTTTGAGGAAACCGATCAAAGACGCGGGGGTACCACATTAGCGTCTTCCCCCCAGGATGCCAACATGGGCCCAATCTCATAGTAACATGGCAGAGTTGTGCCTTCTGCAGAGGCCTTCTTGCTCTGATCGGTCGCGCTCCCTCCCCCCCGAGACCCATGGGTAAAGGGGTAGGGGGTGGGGTCAAGACGCCCTCCTAGATAGCAAGCCGTCTAGCTCACTCCCACCCGCCCTCCCAACAGGTAAGTGACACCCGAGCCTCAGCATGTTCAGCGGTTGCCGTTGGCGCCATGCGTGCCAGGCGCGCCACGCTGGGGCCCGAGCGTGCCAGGCACGCCAGGTGCGCCAGATGCGCCACATGCTCCACGTGCGCCAGGTGTGCTGCATACTCCAGCCGGACTAGGTGCGCCACGTTCGGGGCACGTGTAGAGTGTGTCAGGTGCGCCTGCGCACGTGACAGCACACATCGGGAAACATGTCGGCCCCCACCCTTGTCGAAGAGCAATGCCCATCATTGTGTCTGGTGGGCCTGCGCACAGCAGGCCATACGCCACCACCCCCGCCGTCCCTGTCAAAAGCCACTTGGCAGTGATCGCGGGGTGGTCGCGCATGATCCAGATTCAGCCGCGAGGTACATTTTGTATTGTTTCTTGACAGGTATGGTGGCCCTTCGCACAGCAGGCAATATGCTGACACCCCCCGCCGTTCCTGTCAAAAAACACTACAAAGTGCTCGCGGTCCTCACGAACATGACTCAGGACTTTGTCCCAAATTATATTGTTGTATTTGTTTTTTTGACACGGATGTTGGGGGGAGCCGCATCGGGTTGGTTGCGCATGCTTCGAATTTGGAGGCAGAGTGTGTTTGGTATTGTTTTTTGACAGGGATGGTTGGGGGTGGGGTGATCATAGGGTCGGCACTGTTCCTGGTTTGCTGCCAGTCGCCTGGGGGAGGGGGTGTATATATCAATAGGGAACAGTGAAAAAACCCTCTTAGCCGAAGGGAAAGACGGGAGGGGTGGGGGTGAGGGGGGGTGGAAGAGGAACCCCGCCAAACCACTCACGCCCAAAGGGCTGGTGGGCCTTGCACAGACAGGGATTGGTGATGTTGATGATGCTGATGGTGATGATGATTCTGATGCCGATGATGCTGGCGATGGTTGGTGATGATGATTACGGTGGCGATGATGGATGAGGTTGATGGTGATGACGACGTTGATGGTGATGGTAAGGAGGAGGAGAAGGACGTAGAGGAGGGAGGCGGAGGAGGAATGATAACAGCATTCTTGAGGAAGAAATAGCAGACTAACAGTAATACTAGACATACCGGCAGTATGTCTACTTACTATTGTTCACTACAACTATCACTACCACTGCTACTACTACTACTACTACTACTACTACTACTACTACTACTACTACTACTACTGCTACTACTACTACTACTACGACTACTGCGGCTGCTGTTGCTGTTGCTACTACGACTACTACGACGACGATTACATCTCCTACCATCAACACTACTACTATGACCATGTCTGCTACTTTTAACAACTTGGATCAGATACGATGACGACTCATACGAATACTACGCACACCAAGGCGAATACTTCTGCGACAAAAAACATACTTCGAACTATACAGCTACTATCGTTACGGCGATATATAGCACGTCTAATGGGAGGGATGCTACGGACATGGTTCTACTAACGCGAGAAGTCTTAAACATCGTACAGCGAATGGTACTACTACTACTACTACTACTACTGCTACTACTACTACTACTACTACTACTACTACTACTACTACTACTACTACTACTACTACTACTAACACTACTATTGCTGCTGCTACTACCACTCTTGTACTCACGGCTATTCGTATTATGTCATTGCTACTGCTACTACTGCTGCTTCTACTATTCCTATCACTACTACTGCTACTACGACCGCTACAAGTACCACTACCACTACCATTACCACTACCACTACCACTACCACCAGTACTATTATTATTATTACTACTACTACTACTGCTACTACTGCTACTACTACTACTACTACTACTACTACTACTACTACTACTACTACTACTAGGACTACTCGGACTAATAGTACTAGTGCTAGTACTACTACTACTACCACCACTACTACTACTACTTCTTCTACTACTACTACTACTACTACTACTACTACTACTATTACTACTACCGCTACTATTACTACTCCCACTGCTATTATTAGTATATTTATTATTACTCCTACTGTTTTTGTAATAACACTGCGTATTTGATTCAGATTCGGCTACGTGGGATATCATGAATAGAATGAGCTATTAACACAACTTCTCATAATATTATGACGAATGCGAATACTACTACGACTAGTATTTCGAGTGGATGCAACAAGACGAACCAGACCACGCAGCATGGCAGTATTTCTATGCATATGCAGCAGAGTTTTCCGAATCTTGTTCTAGCCCTTTTACTATATACGGAGTCTTTCTTACAATGAGAAGAAGAAAAGTACGAGCAGGGGTAGCTTGGAGGAAGTATGGGGGCACGAGAGATGGGGAAGGAGCTGGAGGACAAGGATATCGGGACAGGAGGGCGATGATGATGCGAAAACGGACAAGGTATAACGAGGATGGGGGAGAGGACGGTTAGTTATACAGTGGATGGAGCTCTGAGAGGAGGACAGTATTATGAGGAGGGATTCTGAACTCCAATGGCGGAAGGGAATGGGGAGCATAGGGGCAGGATGGGAAAGCTATCGATATGAGGAGGTGCGTGGAGGAAGAGGAGGAGGCTGTGGACATGAGTGGGCTTGTCTTGAAGGAGGCGAGGAAGAGCATGATGAGGACACGGAGATCATGAGGGCCGACAGGGGTCCTCTGAGGATATTCGTGGAGGAATGGGAGGGGGGGCGTGGGCCACTTCCCCCAAACAGGATATGAGGAGGCTCGCGTTCGGCGAGGAGGCCGCGGCGCTCTGTTTTCCGCCCTGCTGTTGCCACCCTTGACTCTTTCTGTCCCGTGCCGGGAACCTTTTGCGCTGCGACAAAAATCACTGAAGAGGGTTTTGGGCCCGGCCTCTGGGGGGCCCTCGCTGGGCCCAAGGACCGTCGAAGACAGGCCTGGATAAACAACAGGTCTCGGGGAAGGGGTCCAGACCTCAGGGGTCCACTTTGTGAAGACATTACGACGTTGTAGTTCTGGGTCGTCCATCCAGGTTCACCTCGTCCTCGGATTTTCTTCTTGCTTGCATCGCTGTCAGTCTTCGCCGCCGTCATGGCCCTCTTCTCTCTCACACCTGATCGTCTTTGTGAAGGCGCCTCTTCCTTTGTTTTCGGCATTTGGCCAAATTTGTCTGTCCTTCTGCCAGCCATTGCAATCATTTCCTCTTCTCCTCGTCCTACTCCGTCCCACGGTCTGCAGGCGACTTTGTCGTCCTGCGCACCCCCTCGGCAGCAGGTCCCCGTGGAGCTCTTTCGTGGACACCTAGCGTCCTGCGTCCAGCGTCCTCCTGCTCGTCCTCCTCGTCGTCCTCCTCTTCCTCCACCCCTGTCGGGCACCTGCTTTAATCCCCCGCCTGTGGCCAGACCTTGCCGAAGCAGGGCGGCCGCCCCCCCGCCGGGAAGAAGAAGAAGAAGAGCACCAGTGCGCGGCGGGCGGCGTCTGCGGCGCTGGCGGCGGCCCCCGCAGGACCGAGGCAGGCGAGGGACGACGCCAACATATATACGTGTACGTATGCAGGCATGTATGTATGTATGTATGTATGTATGCATGCATTCATGCATGCATGCATGTATATGTGTGTCTGTCTGTCTGTCTGTCTGTCTGTCTGTCTGTCTGTCTGTCTGTCTGTCTGTCTGTCTGTCTGTCTGTCTGTCTTGATGTATGTATGTATGTATGTATGTATGGATGGATGGATGGATGGATGGATGCATGTATGCATGTATGCATGTATGCATGTATGCACGTATGCATGCATGCATGTATGCATGTATGCATGTATGTACGTATGCTTGTATGTCTGTATGTCTGCATGCATGTATGTATGTATATATGCCTGTATGTATGTTTGTATGGTTACATGCATGTATGTATGTATACAAATATATGTATGCGTATATTTTGTTACATGCATGCGTGTAATTCTGTATGTATATATGAACGATTGTATTTATGCATGTATGCATGTATGCATGCATGCATGCATGTATGCATGTATGCATGCATGTACGTATGCTTGTATGTCTGTATGTCTATATGTCTGTATGTCTGTATGTCTGTATGTATGTTTGTATGTTTATATGTATGTATGTATGTATGTATGTATGTATGTATGTATGTATATATGTATGTATGTATGTATGTATCTATGTATGTATGTAGGTATGTACGTATGTATGTATATATACGTATACGTTGTTACATGCATGCGTGTAATTAAGTATGTATACATACACGCTTGTATTTATGCATGTATGTATGTGTGTATGTCTGTCTGTCTGTCTGTCTGTCTGTCTGTCTGTCTGTCTGTATGTATGTATGTATGCATGCATGCATGCATCCATGCATGTATGTATGTATGTATGTATGTATGTATGTATGTATGTATGTATGTCTATATATATATATGTATGAATGTTGGTATATATGTGTCCGCATGCACGTACGTATGTACCTAGCACCCCGCAGATGCGGGTAAGAGTGCGGGGGCGGTTGGGAAGTCGGCAGTTGGCGAGACTCTGGAGAAGCCCGCCGCAGGCGCTGTTTTTTTCGTTAAACCAATGTGGGTAGTTCGCGGGTGGGTCGCGGGTGGGTCGCAAATGGGTCGCGGGTGGGTCGCGGGTGGGTCGCTGTTGGGTCGCTGGTGGGTCGCGGGTGTAGAGGGCAGACAATCCACCCCATAGTAATCACCCCGGCAAGCGAAGCCGTTTAGTAAACGTACACAAGGAATGCATCGAACAGGGCAGGGCTGTTTAGTAGACGCCCAGGGCCGTTTGGTAAACGTCAATTCTCGGGTCCGGGTGGTTTCTCCTTCCTTCAGGGTGGGTCGCGGGGTGGGTCGCGGGTGGGTCGCGGGTTGGGTCGCGGGTGGGTCGCGGATGAGTCGCGGGTGAGTCGCGGGGTGAGTCGCGAGTGGGTCGCGGGGTGGGTCGCGGGGTGGGTCGCGTGTGGGTCGCGGGTGGGTCGCGGGTGGGTCGCGGGTGGGTCGCGGGTTGGGTCGCGGGTGGGTCGCGGGGTGGGTCGCGGGGTGGGTCGCGGGGTGGGTCGCGGGGTGGGTCGCGGGTGGGTCGCGGGTGGGACGACGACAACAAACAACAACAACACCAACGCAACAATCAGAATTTTCACCACAAATTTCTTATTCAGCCACGCACCCAGGGACAACGAATGACAGTTCGGCCCCCTCACTCTGATGTTTGTATGTATGTATGCCTGTACGTGTGAATTGTACGCATGCATGCATGCATGTCTGTATGTATGTATGTATGCATGCCTGCATATATGAAGACATGCATGACTGCATCTATGCATGTACGTATGTACGTATGTATGCCTGCAGACATGCATTTATTCATGCATGTATGTTTATATGTATGCTTGTATGTATGTATGTACATATGCAAATATGGATGTATGCATGCATGCACACATGTATGTATGCGTTCATGTCTGCATGTATGTATACATGCATGCATGCATGCATGCATGTGTATATATGTATGTATGTGTGCATACATGTATGTATGTATTTATGCACGTATGGATGTGTGTACGTTTGTCTGCATGCACGTATGCATGCACGTATGTATGTATGTATGCATGTGCGCATGTATGCACGTATGAATGCATGCATGTATGCATGTATGCATATGTCTTTATGTATGTGTGTATTCATTCATTCATTCATTCATTCATTCATTCATTCATTCATTCATTCATTCATTCAGTTATGAATGCATAAACGCACATACGAATGTATGCATGCATGTATGCATGCATGCATGTGTGCGTGTCTGCATGCAGACATACATGTAGGTATGCATGCATGCATGTATGTATGTGTGTATGCACATATGAATGTATGCATGCATGCACGTATTGATGTACGTATGGATGCATGTATGTATGCATGCCAGTATGCATGCGTGTATGCGTGTCTTTACCTATGTATGTATGCCTGCATGCACGAGTGTATGTGTGAATCCATGCATGCATGCACGCATTCACGCATTCATGCATGCATGCATGCATGCATGTATGTATGTATTTACTTATAGGTGTATGTATCAATGCGTGCATGTATGCATGCGTTCATGCATGCGTACATGTCTGTATGCACGCATGTATGTATGTGTATGTATGTATGCATGTATGTGTGTATGTATGCACATATGTATGTATATTTGGATGCGTGCAGGCAGGCACACAGGCAGGTATGTATGTATGTATTTGTGTATGTATGTATATCTGGACGTACACATGCATGCATGCATGCACGTATGTATGCATGCATGTATGTATGTATGGATGATGAATGAATGTATACACACATCCACATGCATGTGTATATACATATATATATATATATATATATATTCCTCTTCCTAGGGGGGGGAAAAACCCTCCCCCCCCCGCGTCAAACCTGGATCCCCGGGATCTGGGGTTATCGGGCTCCCTTGGACGTGCTTGGAAAAGGTCACCTGGCTTTCTGGGTCTCCACATACGTCATGCCAGCAGACCCAGAGCGATCAGAGGAGCGATCAGAGGGGTCATCAGAAAGGCTCAAGGGAGGCCCCAGACAGCACAAGAGCGCTCCAAGAGGGACTCCAATTGCTTCAGGACGGCCCGAAAGACCCCCAAGGCACCCCAAAAAGCTTTCCAAGGGGCATTCAAAACACAAAAATCGTCCCATTCCCTTCGTAAAACTTACAATTTTAGCATATTCGCCTTTCGGATTTCATCAGCTTTCAAGACGGCTTCAAAGCCCCCGAGATCGCCTCAAGACGCCCCAAAAGGCCCCCAAGAAAGCTTCAAGACGGCCGAGCCGGGCCTCACGATCGCCCACGAGAGCCCCAAGACAGCCCATAATGGGCCCAAGAGGCCCCCCAAGAGCTCCCAGCACAGACCCAAAAGGGCCATGGGAGGTCCCCGGAAGTGCCCAAGATGGGTCCAAAGGGGGCTCCAGCGGGCCCAAGCTCCCCAAGACGGCCCAAGAAGGCCCCAGGACGGCCCATGAAGGCGCCAAAACTGCCCACGAGGGCCCCGAAAACACCCCCACGACGTTTCCGCATGCCAACATTCATTGACTTTGCTCCCATGACATTCCACATTGTGACCCAGTCATTGCTCCGGCGTGCACCGACAAAGCACGTACGAGTTGCATATGTATGTTCATACCCTTACACACTTAGATTTATATGTACCTATGTACGCTGTATACACACATACGGCAATGTAAGTATACTGTATACACCTAGACATATATACGGAACGTGCATGCGCGTGCGCGTGTATACATACACGCGCGCATGTACGCACGCACGCATTCCGCTTGCGTGCGGAACTCAAAGGACCAAGCTGCATGGCGCGCAGCGCCAATGCAGTCTTGTATATATATATATATGTGTGTATACATATAGAGTTGTGTGCGCATTTGCTCCCGTTTCTTTCTGTCTTCTGGTCCCACTGCCTTACTGACTCATCTTGCCCACGAGCTTCCTTGCTTCCTGCAGGCGGTCGTGTGCCATTGCCGCCGACTCCACTGTGCCACGATTTTGGCCTTTGATCGTTACTGCCCGCACTGCTCTGCGTCTGCCGCGTCGCTTTCCCGTCGTCGGCTTTTCTCTCTTTACCCTTCTGGTGTCCCCCTCGCGAGTGTCCCCTCGCGAGTGTTCCCGTTCGATCATCTTTGGGTGCATCCGTCTCCTCCACGCTGCGCGAATTGGCCCTGCCCGCGCGCCCATTTTGCGCTCGTCCTTGCCCTGCGCCGCGCCTCCGCGTGCGTGGCCGCGACGCCTAAAAGTGTGTGTGTGTGTGTGTGTGTGTGTGTGTGTGTGTGTGTGTGTGTGTGTGTGTGTGTGTGTGTGTGTGCGTGTCATTCGCATTCAGTGCACCCTACCAACGCGTCTTTCGCCATCGCAGTGACTCTGCCTAGCCGCCGACGCAAAGTGTGTGTGTGTGTGTGTATGTGTGTGTGTGTGTGTGTGTGAGTGTGCTTGCCGCGTATCTGGTTTGCTCGGGTGCACTTTCTCCGCCTCGCTGCTGCGCGCTAGGCCGCGATCGCCGAACAGGTTTGTGTGTGTGTGTGTGTGTGGCATCGGCGGGGATCGTCGCCGCCCCCCCCCCGCGCCACATGTGTGCACGTCGCTAGGAGCTCTCCTGGGGTGCCCTACTCGCCCCGGCAGACTGTGGCTACCACGTGCCGCCCCCACGACGGAGGAGACGACAAACGGGGGAGTTTGGCGTTGTGGACCGCCAGCACACCCCCAACTCAGGTGTCAGCGTACCTTCCATGCGCCGGGTGCTTCCTTCACCGGATGCGCCCCAGGCCGTGGGGAGGGCGTCGTTATTCCACGTCCGTACACGTATTCGGTGTCCCCCGAGTTTGCTCCCGCTCAAGTGTCAGCACGCCCTCGGTGCGCCGGGATGCGTCCTCCGGATGTGCCCCATGCCGCGGGGAGGGCGCCAGCAATTTCCCACACTACGCCTATTCAGCGTCCCCCCATTCTGTTCTTGTGAACCCCATCGACACGCACGGTGGCGTGGAGGACGACGTGGACACCCCCGGCGCATTCAGTGGCGCACATCATGACGGAGATGGGCGGAGACCCACTTGCGGGGCGGACGTTGGCAATTCTTCCTAGGGGGGTCCTCTCCACGCCGCTGCGCCCCTTGCCGAGAGCTCTCCCGGGCGCCCGACTCCTCGCTGATTTGCCCCCCTGTCGGAGGAGAGAATTTACAGAAGAGGGTGAGGTGGCCTTGGTGGCGGGGAGCAGAAGAGGCTGGCGGCGAAGATCGCCAACAACCCCCCGGCCACGAGCCCCCCCTGGCGGAGGAGACGAGGAGCAGGGGTTGATTGCGGGGGCCGCCAACTGCCCCCCAGCCGCGGCTGCCAGCGTCGACGCGAGACGGTTTTGCCCCCGCGGCGGACAAACGAACCTTGTGCCAGGACCACCCATGCCCGACCTGCGCCGTCCTGGGCCCGGCGGTCTGCTGGGCCCCCTCCCTCCGGGGTCTCGCTGGGCCCAGGGAGGGCGCGTGCTTGCCCTCAGGCTCTTGTTCGGTGACGCCTCGGCCAGGGTGTGTGGTGGCGCTAGGGTTGCAGACGCGGGGAGAGGGCCCTCCTCGCCGCCGAGGAAGGATTGTAGAACGGAGGGGCACCGCCGCGTGCGCCTCGAGCGTCCTTCGTCGCCGCGGCTGGAAGTCAGTATTCTGGTGCGCCGTCCCACGCAGGTGGATCGCGCGCCGCTGCCCAGACTGGGCGGCGCCTGGCGTCCCACCTTGCGTTCCGCCGAGACTGCGTTGTCCCGGCCGCAGGGCAGCGCCGACGGGCGTCGCGACCGGCGCCCCCCCCATTTTCCACGGTCTCTTCGCCTCATCCCCCCACCCACGCGGCGACTAACGTTGGCAGCTCGAGCGCCGAGGATTGCCGCGGCGCCCTCCAGGGCGGGGGCGTGCCCCCCCTGTCCCAGGTGCTTTCTGCCACGACCCCTCAATGCCTTCGGGGCCCCGGCCGCCGCATCTAAGGAGATGCAGCGAGCAGGGCCAGGTATTGTGCTCGGCGCGGTGGGGGCATCAGGGGCCCCGGCCGACGCGACGCCGCCTTCCTTCGCAGCTTCCTGCACCTCCTGGCCTCGTCGCCGCCCTGATTCTCGCGCGGCTGCGCCGAGCGGCGTCCCGCAATTCAGGGCGGTTGCCGAGGTGCCCATGAAGGTCTCGTCGGGGCCGCCAAGTGGCTGGCCCAGGAAAACTTTCTCCTTGGACTTCGGGTTTTCCAAGGGGCCGAAGGTCAACGCGCCGTCTATCCCCCCTTTGGCGATCCCAAGGGCGACCTTTGTGATCCCCCCCTTCAGGCCGCAGCGTGCCTTCCGTGCGCCGGGGCGCTTCCGTTACGGAACGCGCCCCTGGCTGCAGGGGAGATTCCCTTTTCTGTGACATTGCACCTGCTCGGTGCAAGGGTGCAGACCGCCCCCCCCTTGTGTAGGCGGGGCCGACAACGGGACGTTTCGTCCACGTCTCGAAATGACGGCCTCAGGAGTATCAGGCAATAGCGCCGACGCCGCGGTTCGCCCCCGCCAGACCCGATTGCCACCCCCGAGCCCCTAGGGGCGTGTCGGGGCCAATCGTGCTGTCAAGACGGAGGGTGCAGGTGCTCCAGCGGCAGCCACTGTGTGGGAGATGGCGCACGGGCTCCCCCCAACCGCAACGCGGAGGCATACCAATCCACCGCCCAGGGTGGGCCTTTCCCCGCCGTTGCGGACCTTGCCGAGCTCTCCCGGGATGCCTGGCTCGTCTCGCCCGTCGACGGCCTCGCTGAGGTGCCCCCCCGTCGGAGGAGGGATTTTCAGAGGAAGGCTGGCGGCCCTGGATGCGGGAAACCGAATTGTTTGGCGGCGAAAACCTCCAATTAGCTTCCAGGCGCGTGCCTCCCCGGTGGGGGGGTTGGGAAGCATATAGGACCCGCCGTGATTGCGGTGACGTACGCTTGCGTCACGGATTACCGCATTCCTCCCATGGCGGGGGGCGTGTCACCCCCTTCCCTGGCGTCTGCTACGTCCCCTTCAAAGCCATCGGGCCCTGGCCGCCACAACCAAGAAGGTACAGCGAGCAGGCGGTGTGCCCAGTGCGGCCTGGGCCAGGTTTTGTTCTTTGTGCGGTGGGGGCACCAGGGGCCCCGGCCAACGTGTCGCCGCCTTCCTTCGCATGTTCCCCCCGTTCAGTCTGCAGCAAACCCTCCGTGCGCTGGGTCGCCTCCGGCACGGAATACGCTCCTGGCTGCGGGGAAGGCTCCACCACTTACCGTGGGTGTACCTATTCGGTGCCGCCCCCGCTCTTTACAGACAGCTCACGGCTGCATGCGCGGCCCCCCATGTGGAGGCGGATGCCCCCCAGCACGCTTGGTGGTGTGCAGGACGACGCGGGTGGGCGGGGCCCCGTTTGTCCCCGGAGGGTCCTCCCCTCGCCGCCGCGCACCTTGCCGGTGCCGCAGCGCCCCCCAGGACGGGGAGCGTGCCACCCCCGTCCAAGGCGTCTGCCCCTCTTCTCCTCCTCCGCTCCTCCTCCTCCTCCTCCTCCTCTCCTCCTCTCATCCTCCTCCTCCTCCTCCTCCTCCTCCTCCTCCTCCTCCTCCTCTCCCTCCTCCCCTCCTCCTCATCCTCCTCTCTCCTCCTCCTTCCCCCCCCCCTCCTCCTCTTCCTCCTCCTCCTCCTCGTCCTCCTCCTCCTCCTCGTCCTCCTCCTCCTCCTCCTCCTCCTCACCCTTCTCGTCGTCCCTTCTCCCACGTGTGTGGTTGTGTGAGCGCTGCGCGGAGGCCAGCGATTCCCTCTGGCGTGGTCTCTCGCCGCAGTTTTCGCGGGTGTGGCGGCGCCACATCGCCAGTGCGGAGGGACAGGGCCCGTGGCACGTGCGCGTCTGCGGGCGTGTGGGTATATATATATATATATATATATATATATATATATAGAAAGCGAACGTGGTGATGCAGAAGTCCAGGCCCAGGCACGGGCAGGAACATGGGTAAGGATTGGGACAGCAGTAGAGGTAGGTGCAGCGCTCGTTTCACCTCATCGGGTCCGCTTTGCTCTCAGCCTGCCAGTGCCGTGTGCTATCAGAAGTGTGGATGCACGGAATGCAGCAGCAATGCAAGCAATCGTGTCTTGCTTGTTTATGGATGTGCGACTGGCCCGCCGAGGACGCAAAACGCTAAGGCCTGTGTCGAAGGCCAGCGAGACGGAGCCAGGTCTGCGAAAGAAAGCGCCTCGCAGGTCGAAGGCCAGCGAGACAGAGCCAGGCTTGCGAAGGAAGAAAAAGAAACCGCTTTGCAAGTCGCAGACCACCAAGACCGAGCCAGTTCTGCGAAAGAGGAAGACGACGCGCAAAGCCGCGGCGATGCAGGACACGCTTTCCTTCACCCTCACCTGCCGATCTGGAGCAGGAATTTGGCGAGGTCAAGGAGTGAGGAGTATGAGGTAATTAGGAGGAGGGGGAGGAGGAGGAGCAGGAGGACGAGGAGGAGGAGAAGGAGGAGAAGGAGGAGGATGAGGATGAGGATGAGGAGGGAGGAGGGAGGGAGGAGGGAGGAGGGGGGAGCGGAGGTTGAGGGAGGAGGGGGAGGAGGAGGAGGAGGAGGAGGAGGAGGAGGAGAGGAGGAGGAGGCGGAGGAGGAGGAGGATGATGATGAGGAGGAGGAGGATGAGGAGGAAGAGGAGGAGGATTGGGAGGACGAGGAGGAGGGGAGGCGGAGGAGGAGGAGGAGGAGGATGAGGAGGAGGAGGAGGAGGAGGAGGATAATGGAGGAGGAGGAGGAGAAGGAGGAGGAGGAGGAGGAGGAGAGGGAGGAGGCGGAGGCGGAGGCGGAGGAAGAGGCGGAGGAAGAGGAGGAGGAGGAGGAGGAGGAGGAGGAGGAGGAGGAGGAGGAGGAGGAGGAGGAGGAGAAGGAGGAGGAGGAGGAGGAGGAGGAGGAGGAGGAGGAGGAGGAGGAGGAAGAGTGTCACTATGATATAACTGAGGAAGAGTGTCACTATGATATAACTTCAATGCTTCCGCGTATTTTTGATCCACCAGGTCAACTGGTCGGCACGTCCTCTGGTCGCCTGCGTCGTTGAAGCCTCTTCAGAAGGCTCGGAAGTCCACTGTCCTTCTGAGAAGTCTTCTGAACCTTAGCCTTCCCCGAAGACACAACACATACTTTTCGGAAGGCGCGAGAGCTTCTGAGAAGTCCCGCCGCCTTCTCAGAAGGCCTTCTCCTTCTCACTCCAACCCCCTCGCTCGCCGCCGAAGGTGTTTTTTTGGCCACAACTCGGGCCTCAGGCGGCCGTCCGCTCGGGATGATCCAGGCACCCCCGGAACGCCCTCGGCGAGGCGCAGCTGCGGGCCATCATCCCGAGGCTGGAAGTCCGTCGAGAAGCGACGAAGATGCTCTTGAACCTCGAACCTAGAACCTCGAAGCTCGAAGCTCGAATCTCGAACCTCTAACGTCGGACTTCCTTCCCTCGCTCGCCGCCGCGGCCGTGCAGCCCAGGACGCTCCTGGCCTCGGTCGGCGCCGGTGCCTCCCCGCACTGCCCGAGGCCCAGAGGCCGCCAGTGGCCTCCCAGAGCCCTCGGCGCGCCCGCGCCCTGCGCGTCGCCGCCGCGGCGGCACGGCACGACGTGGGAGTCCCGGGCCCTCCTCGCTCCGCCTCCCCGGCCCTCCTCGCTCGCTCCTCCTCGCTTCTGCTGCTCCTCCCCGCTCCTCCTCGGCCCTCCTCGCTCCTGCTCCTCCTCGCTCCCCCTCCTCGCTGCTGCCGCCCCTCCCCGCTGCTCCCCCCGCTCCTCCTCCCTCCTCCTGCCCGCGGGCGCGCACGTGCGCGCTGCCAGCTGGCCAGTCTCTCCGGGATCTGCAGGCATGCGCCGAGTCCCATCGCACGCCTCCGAGCCGCGCATGGGGCCAACGTGTGCCCTGGGCTCCGGCACACCCGTCTAGGGTTCAGTCGGGCCTGTCCCTCTACAGGGGGGATGTTCAAAAATGGTCAGACAATAGTCGGGGGACTATTGCTTGAATATTTAGTTTTGACCATTTTGGAGTATTTTTGGGATATTTTTTATTTTTCTTCGAAAATCCCCAGGGGGACACGCCCGACTTAAGTCTAGGGCTGTCCTTCTCGACGTCTGCCGGCGCCCCGCCTCGCCTCGCCCCGCCTCGCCTCTCTCCTCGCTCCTCGGTCCGCCTCCCTTCTTCCTCCCCGCCTCTCGCGTCTCCCTCCTCTCCTCCTCTCCTCCTCCCCCCTCCCTCCTCCCTTCCCCCTCCTCGCTCCTCCCCTCCCCTCCCCTCCCTCCTCGCTCCTCCTCCCTCCCCCCTCCCCCCTCCCCGCGGCCACTTCGGCTCACGATCTTGAGCCGTCCGCGCCATCACAAGGATGCCGCTGATCCGCGGCAGTCTTCCAGTGCCTCAGGGGTCCTCCCGCCTCCCTCCACGGGCTCCGTGGCGCCAGCAGGAGCCCGCGGCAGGGGCGGTGGGCTCGCGCGCCCCGCTGGCGCCTCCTCCAGGTGCCCCCCCTCGGTCCGCGGCAGCCCGAGCGGGGCTGCTCGTGCGGAGCGTCCAGGAGCTGGGCATCACGGCTCGGGTGCCGGTGCGGGCGGCAGGCCCCAGCTCGTGGCATCAGTGCTGCGGTACCCTTGGATGTTCTGTGCGTTTTGGCCGGTGGGGTGTCTCGTGTTCTCGAGGGGTGTTCTTCTGTCCAAGGTTCGGCTGTATCCCAGGGTCGCACGCCAGCGCCTAGGGCAAACCGTGAGAGTGACCAGGTGCAGCTCTTACGGAAGGAGCTGGCGCAGCTCTAGGCCCAGAAGGGTCGTGAAGGAGTTGGCCAGGCTTCTCAGTCGTCGGCGGCAGAAGGAGAGTTCAACCGCGCGGAGTTGCTCAGCACAGTGCAGTATATTGAGAGCTCATCCAAGACCCTTCGCCCCAGACGCGCTCAAGGCCAAGTACGTTTCCGAGCTGGAGCTCGCGAAGGGCCAACTCGATCAGTTCTCGACTCCTGAAGCTGCGCACCGCAGGGCGCCGGACAAGCTCAGGAATGCAAACACACACACACATCAACAAGCTACAGGCGGAAGTCACCAACATCGAGCGTCAGGCTGATGACATCCAGACGGCTTTGGAGGACACGAAGGCAGCGATCGTGGCGAAGAAAAGGGATATCGAGCTGTTGCAGTCTGACTTCGCCAAGACAGCGGTAGTTGTTTCCCCACGTGTCCAGTGTGAGAACACTACCTTGAATGCTTCAAGGCCGACCTCCAGAAGATGTGCGGGTTGCTTTCGACTACCTCGCTTCGGAGATCACTTCCAAGCTCTTGGCAAGTATCGAGAAGCAGTTCAAGTTCGCAGTCGAGAAGGAGGAGGATGGAACCAAGGATGTGCCCATGTCTGAGTCTGGGACTCCTGGCCGACGCCCTGATGGTGGTGGCGATGCTGGTCCGTCCGCGGCAGCGTGAAGCACCATATGGTATGTCCCCTGAGGACTTCGAACGTGTGCGCGAGTTCTTTGCCAGCAATGTCGAGCTCGACACATCGGGATCAGAAGCAGAGGGAATGACCCCACCTGCTAATCAGATGTCTCCCAGTGCACAACGGCCGCATCAACTCTTTTGCACACCCAGACCTCAAGAGCGAGTTTCTCCTCGAGTCTTAGCGCCAGCCCTGGCGTACGCACGCTAAAGGAACGGATCCAGGACACCATGGCGGCAGTCTTTGTGGCTCATCCGATCGGAGTAGCAAACGTGGAACACGATGATATTGTTTCATGTGCGGCTGAACATGGCTGGAAGTGTCTCTGCAGTCCAGCTTTCGCAGGGAAAGGCACTATGCCCGCCCAGGGAGCGGCCATCTTTGCCAGGGCAAGCGCTGGCCCACGTGGACCTGATAATGCTGATTTTGTAGTCTACAGGCGTCGGGCCATCCATGCAGTTGTCCAGCTAGCGGGCCAGCCGCCCTCCATGATGTAGGTTTCTATTTTTGGTCAGTCAAGGCATAAAAGGTAGGAGTGCGAGTATCCTTGCTCAGATCGGTATGGGGATTGCCGACATCAGCTGCCCAACTGTGCTGGCAGGTGGCAAGAATGCGATTTCTAGACCGGTAGAAGAAGCAGGGTTCACAACGGAAGCTAAACCTGTAGTCGTGGTGCCTCACCTCTCGGCTTGCAGCGCCCCGGCCCCAGAACGTGCCATGGTGTTTTTCGTGGCGAATGACATTGCCAGACGGCTGCCTGAGAGCGTTAACGTAGCAGTGCCATGGTCAGGGAGACCTCGCATACCAGACCCCACATACCCAGAGGAATGTTGTCTAAAGGTATGCAACTGTACTAGGTCTATTTCGTTTGCAAGAAGCTGGATGAGGAAGTCTTGTCGGTCCCTTGTTGCCAGGAGCTGTATGGTCCCAGGCTGTTGCAATTGCCAGCCAAGCTGTCCCAGCATGCTTGCCCGCGACGGCGCGCATTGCCTTGTGCATGCTATCAAGGGCGTCGACTTCGTTCGCAGTGACGGCAGGTAAGGTGATCGGTAGCATTGTAGATCGCACTTGGGGTCGGGCGACGTGGGGGGCTCCACCGAAGGCGAGATGGGTCGAGTATCGCTACCGTCCTGAGAGCACGTCTGATGTGACAACTATCGCTCGTGGGTGGATGTTGCATCACCAGTATGTTCCAATTTGGTCCAGCTCCTCACCAATGGGATCGCAGTGTTGTCGTGCCTTGAAGCGGAAGAGGAAGCTTGCACTACGACGGATTCCTATGGAAAGGGCAAGTGCGCACTCTTCGATAAGAGTATCATGGCCGCGAAAATTGCTGCGTGGCGTGCTGTGCTGCGAGCTTCTGGAGCTGGGCTTGCCCAGCCGCTGTCTGCTCCTCGGCCCCGTGGCCCGCGACCCAGCTCCAGTACGGGCCGCCCAGTGGGTGGCCCGTTCGAGGGTCGGGGCTTAGAGGTGCTAGAGGATTGCGGCGACTACGCTGGGGCTCGCGCACTCGCGCGATCTGCTTGAGGGGATTATCTTCTTCAGTGGCGCGATGCCCGTCGGCGGCGTGGGTCTGCGCTTGCACGCCGGGGCCGCGGGCCCCTGGTCAACGTCGCCATGTGCCGGTGGAAGAGGGGTCGGGCGAGCGCCCCAGGGCCAGTGCCTACCGAGCTGAGTCCTGGTTCAACGTCGCCACGTGCTGGATGTAGCGCGGTCTGTGCTAGCAGCCCAGGGTCAGTGCCTACTTAGCCGCGCCCTGGGTCAACGTCGCCACGCGCTGGATCAAGTGGGGCAAGTGCTAGCGCCCGAGGACCAGCGCCCACCGAGCTGGGCCCGAGGCCAGCGCCGCCACGCGCCGAGCATCTGGAGTCAGATCCGAGGATTCATCGTGGCAGCCAGGATGCGGCAATT